GCTCTCAGAGTACATAAAAGAAAAGATACAAGTAATTTACAGTACTATAAATAGTCCTAAATATGGGGTATCAAGGTTAATTTGCTGATAATAAGTTAGTAAATTTAGGTCAAGATCTCAGATACTGGGCACAAAGCTACACTTCCAGAATGCAATATTTATTTGGATGGTTCCGTCAGCCTTTGTTCCTAACCACAATAATGACAAAATGTGCATTGTGACATCATGATTGCAAGCTCTGCTCTTTAACACTTGCACCACCATATTACACACGAGTACATGAAGAACAGGTCTGGCATCACAATGTATGCCCCATTCCCCTGCCTCATAGGGACGCCTACAATTGGTTCTGGTTTAGTTCAGCTGTTGCTCCACTTTGTTCAAAGTGGATGTGAAGGCAGTAACCACATTTGCTTAATCATATACCCAGCTCTTTAAACAAAAGATGAAAGGATTTAGAGAAGTCCCAGTGAAATGGGATTTTTAATCTAAATTAATGTAAAAAAAAAAAACATGGACCAGAGAGGATCTTTCTCCTGTGAAATCCTGCAGTCTTGTTTTTCAGTATTTACAGTGTCTTCTAGTCTGGTTGGGGACAAGACCTTGTAGCATATCTAAGTGTCTAACACCTGCCAATGGACTAAAATATTTCTTTAAAAACCCAGGATGTGAATCTAGCAGGCCAACTGTTTTACAAGTTTCCCCCCCAACGGTCTCTGGATTAATTTTTGAAAAGTGATGTCAGAGACTTTACTCCTATGTGTTGCTTATTGACAAAAGAAATATTTTAGCTTTATTGTGCAACAGCCAGAAATTAATCTTTTACTGTAAATCCTTTTTTTTTTAATTGTTGATCTTAACAAAGAAAAGAAAACTGAGAACCATTCTGTGCTTTATGTAACTTCCTGGTTGCTGATGAAAATAAAATTGATTGTGTGCTATGCTGCTAAGTGTGTTGTTGTCAACTTTTTGGTTTATGGTGGTAAAAAAAAGAGAGAAGAAGGTGTCAAAAAATCTATTTATGCCAAGAAACTGATTGATAGATACTAAGAGCTGTTTCATAATGCAAGAAAATATCAATATGTCTACCCACCTGTTGTTCTAAGAATGAACACACGTTTCTCTTCACTGATTGAATATCTATAGGAGTCTAAACAATAGGAGTCTAGACTAAAATTTCTCCAAAAGTGGAAGAGAAATTGAATTAGTAAACAAAAGTGGCTTATTTGATTGGGGGGAGAGGGAGGAAGGAAGGAGGGAAAGAAGGAATCAGATGAATGAGAAAAAACAAAAATCAGAAAGAAAATAAAAATGTTTAGGAGTATTTGCTGAGTCTGGGGCTTTAATTGCATGCACCTCACCATGTTACTATACAAACATCTCCCAAAGGCAGAAAGGAAGGGAAAAGAATTAAGCAATTAAACAAAAGAATTTAAACAATTAAAGTGCTGTTTGTGAGACTGCTTCCTTTATGGTTGCAATAAAGTTTCTACAAACTTTATTTGGCTCAAATTTTAACAGAATAAAGTAATAAGAAAGGTGCAAAACAGGGGTGTCAAACTCAAGGCCCGCGTGGCCCTCCCGAGCTCCGTTTTTGCTGGCAGGGGGTTGCAGGAGGCCATTGCAGCCAAAAACGGAGATCGGGAGGCCGTTTTTGCTGTCAGAGTGCTTGCGCCACCACAGGCACCCCTGACACAAGTGACATCAAGCTGGCCATGCCCAACATGGCCACGCCCACCACAGCTCCCTGAGGTCACACACAAGCCTGATGCAGCCCTCAATGAAATCGATTTTGACACCCTTGGTGCAAAAGAAACAGCCTAGAAATGATAGAGTCCCATAGCCAGACCCACTCTTCTTTCAACAGTATTGTGCTGTGACAAATGTTTTTCTGCATGGTGGACAATACTCAACAGTGGGAAGCAGGTAAGATCAGAGGTATTGATTAATTGCTTTGTTTATCTCTCCCTACATGTGCAGAATCAAGACAGAATCATTTGGCAATGAGTTAAAACAGATTCAATAAAGGCAGCCTACTTCCCTATCAACAAAGTAGGCAGCAGATCTGATGTGGCATGTTTTTTGCCAATTTCAGGGATGAGTGGAGAGAAATAACTCAGTAATGGGAAAAGGCCCATTGTCTAAGCGCATATAGATAATAAAATGTATTGCCTTAAATTCTAAAGCAGGTTATTCTAAACTCTTATTCAAAATAAAGAAAACAGAAAGTCATCATTTTTAAAAGCAACACCAGAATAGATTTGAGGAATTAGGAACAAGAATATATTTACCGTAGTTCAAAGATGTATTCTCACAACCCATTTTTTAAAACACTCCCGCCTTCCCCAAATCTTGAATTTTCAGTTGTATGGGGACTAGAATCTCCAATTTTACTGGGAATTTCATATTGCTAATACTTTTGTATGGCACCAAGATGAAAAAGGATCAGTCTATTTGGAATTGAACGTTTAAGGGTCTTTTAAAAGAATAATATAATTAGCTTTCTGATGACCTAAACTGAATCAATGGGTGGGAAATGTGTACTCTTTCAGGTGGGGCAGAATTATATTTATTTATTTTTAAATTTGTATACCGCCCTTCTCCCTGAGGACTCAGGGCGGTGAACAGCCAAGTAAAAGCATAAACTACAAACATTAAAATACAATTTATTTATTTATTTATTTATTTATTTGTTTAAATTTCTATACCGCCCTTCTCCAATGTAGGACTCAGGGCGGTGAACAGCCAAAGTAAAAACAAGACATACATACAAAACATACAAAATCTAAAATCTGTTTAAAATAATTAAATAATTTTGGCCGTAATTAAAACATTCCAATTTAAAATCCGTTTAAAATTTGACTCAAGCCAGCCCAGCTAGTTGAAATAAATGGGTTTTTAGGGCCCGACGAAAAATCCGGAGGTCTGTTATTGTACGTAGCTCTGGGGGGAGGTTGTTCCAGAGGGTGGGCGCCGCCACAGAGAAGGCTCTCCCCCTGGGGGTCGCCAGCCGACATTGTCTGGCGGACGGCACCCTGAGGAGGCCCACTCTGTGGGAGCGTACTGGCCGGTGGGAGGCTATTGGTGGCAGAAGGCGGTCTCGTAAGTACCCCGGCCCTAAGCCATGGAGTGCTTTAAAGGTGGTCACCAACACCTTGAAGCGCACCCGGAAGACCACCGGGAGCCAGTGCAGCTCGCGCAGGAGAGGTGTCACGTGGGAGCGCCTCGTCGCCCCCAAAATCCCCCGCGCGGCCGCGTTCTGGACCAGCTGGAGCCTCCGGGTGCACCCCAGGGGGAGCCCCATGTAGAGAGCGTTGCAGTAGTCCAGGCGGGAAGTGACGAGTGCCTGAGTGACTGTGCGTAGGGAGTCCCGATCTAGAAAGGGGCGCAACTGGCGTATCAGGCGGACCTGATAAAAAGCCCCCCTGGCCACGGCCGCCAAATGATCTTCTAACGACAGCCGTGCGTCCAGGAGGACGCCCAAGTTACGAGCCCTCTCCGTGGGGGCGAGTGATTCGCCCCCAATAGCCAGCGATGGCGTCAGCTGGCTATATCGGGACGCCGGAAGCCACAGCCACTCGGTCTTGGAGGGGTTGAGTTGGAGCCTGTTTCTCCCCATCCAGGCCCGCACGGCCTCCAGGCACTGGGACATCACTTTAAGGGCATCATTGGGGTGGCCTGGGGTGGAGATGTACAGCTGGGTGTCATCAGCGTACTGATGGAACTCCACCCCGAAGCCACGGATGATCTCACCCAGCGGCTTTACATAAATGTTGAACAGAAGGGGCGAGAGGACCGACCCTTGTGGCACCCCACAAGCAAGGTGCCTCGGGGTCGACCGCTGCCCCCCTGTCAACACAGATTGCGACCGGTCAGAGAGGTAGGAGGAGAACCACCGCAAAACGGTGCCTCCCACCCCCAACCCCGCCAACCGGTGCAACATGATACCATGGTCGATGGTATCAAAAGCCGCTGAGAGGTCTAACAGGACCAGGATAGAGGAGCAACCCCTATCCCGGGCCCTCCAGAGATCATCCACCAATGCGACCAATGCCGTTTCCGTGCTGTGCCCAGGCCGGAAGCCGGACTGGAGCGGGTCTAGATAGACAGCTTCATCCAGGTACCGGGGAAGCTGGATATATATAAAGATATATATAAATTTGGCCCCATGATTAAAAACAATAACAGACAATTAAAAACATTTTAAAAAGTGTTAGGCCAGCCCGGCTTGCTGGAAAAAGAAGGTTTTAAGGGCACCCTCACCCCATATTACTACTGAGAGTGTGCGTGTCAGGAACATGTGGAAGATTTATCCCTTGAGCCAGGTAGTCTAAATTTTTATTTCCAGTATACAGTTGCTCTAAGACTACCGTAAATTGCCTGTAAATTATCGCCCTCCATTTAACGCGGTCATATTACCTATTATGGTTTATATCTGGAATGACTGAGGTATTCGCCAGATCTAATTTGTTCCGGCATCAGCCTGCCTTGCACCGACTGATTATGTGACGTTTGGGGTTTGGAGCCGATAACGAATTCCATACACTTTTATTGCAATGATTACCCAGCCAGCCCGGGAGTAGAGTCTTTATGTTCCGTGTTAATACGAGGAAGTTCTAGAACGGGACAAACTATGGCAAATAAGAGGGAGGGAGAGGCTACTATCTCTCTACAGCTGCTATCCTCGAACTGTGTGTAACCCCGGAGGACAAGCGAGAGGGAACCCCGAACGGCGAGCGCCTTTGAAACGCAGCCAAGCGCCGCCACCGGGTTCCGTCTCCCTGTCTTGCCCGGAACAGGAATAATGCAATATTCAATCCCAGCCACCCGCCCCAATTTAAGCAGCGCGCTGACTTTAAAGGAAGGGAAGAAAAGCGCTCTTCGTCCAGGGGAGGCAATCGGAAGGAGGCGAGAGGCGGGCGGCAGGGATTACCAAGGGAAGGCACCCCCGGTTCCGCAAAGGAGAACACGCCCCGCCCCCGGCGCCGGAGGGTCCCGCCCCCGCCCCGCCGCTGATTTAGCTGGTGGCGTTGCCTTGGCCGCCGGCTTTGGGCTGCCTGCGGTCCGGGTTGGGGACGCATCGCCGGAGTGGAGCGGGCAGATGCCAGGCATCTGAGCGCGGTGAGTGAATGAGTGAGTGGCTGGCGCCCTGTGAGTCTGCCTGCCACAAACCCAGAAGGGGCTGGATGGGGACAAGGTCCCGGCACTGGGACACGCCTGAGCCGAATTTTTCCAACGGCGTCTTTGCCAAACGCGGACGGTGTGCGATTTTAGGTGTGCGCTTTACTGTTGGCTCCGACTTCCCTCTTTTGAGCCTCTCTCGTCGTGCAGGGAGGCGAATCCGCGCTGAGTTATAAAACTTGAATTAGACGTTGGCTGCGTTCGCACGACCTTCTGATTTAAGAGGGTTCGGATTTTACCCAGGGTCTGGGTCTTGCGCGAACACAGCCTTCCTAAATTGGAGGGCGAAAGACAAGAGGAATGTCGGGGCCTCCATTCCTCAAGGTCCCTGAGCGGAGATCGCAAAGGAGGAGCAGGTGCTGTTCCTGTGAAGGTCTAGGTCAGTGGGTCTCAACCTTCCTTATGCTGCGACCCTTTAATACAGTTCCTCATGTTGTGGTGACCCCCAACAATAAAATTATTCCTAAAACCATTGAAAATATTTGTTTTCCGATGGTCTTAGGCGACCCCTGTGAAAGGGTCATTCGACCCCCAAAGGGGTCCCGACCCACAGGTTGAGAACCACTGGTTTAGGTGGACTTCAAAGATGTAGCCTTGTTTTCTGCCCCCTCCTTCTCTCTCTCTCTCTCTCTGGATGGCATGGCTGGGCAAATAGATATGTACCAGCCAGTGCGGGCAGAAAGTGAGTAGAGTATTGCTGGAGGAGGTAACCCCAAAAGAAATAGAAGTTGCAGCAACCTTTTATTACCTGGACTTCCCAGAGAAAAAGAATCTGGGATTAGCCTGCCGAAATTTCTTTTTCCTTCTCCTAATGGCTGTGTTTTCATATTTGGTAAAGGTTTGTTCAGAAAGCCATTTCTCCATATTGGCTGGGTTTCCAAAGGACATCAGTTGAAAATGCATGGCTTTGGCAGTTTAGTGTGTCATGGAAGTGCAGTCTTTGGGTGTACAGTTGGTCCTAAACTCATCTCTGTATCCATCAAAAGAGACCGCAGGTGAGGTGGATCCACTGTTCATGGCCAGCTCTCTAGAGTACTTTGCCCAGATGAAAGGTTGAATGAGGTGGCTGGTTCAGTTTTCTCTTGGGGAATATTTTGGAAGCAATTCATGCTTATATCTGGGGCAGATTAACAGTGTTGGCTCTTCCAAGCTCCCCACTCAGACCCAGCACAATGAAGCAGAGGAAACAATATATTTGGGACTCTTTACGGTTCTTAGCTTTCGCTAAACAGGGCTGGATGTGATTAATACTTGGATGGGATACCAGGAAATCCCAGGATTGTAAACTAGGTTGGAAAGGGGGGGGGGGAATCTAGAAGAAGAAAATGGCAAAAAATAGTTGTACTCTTACCAAGAAAATCACATTGACATTTTCCCCTTATGGGTTCTTTTGGGTGAAACAGAAAAAAAAATGAACTTATGATTTACAGTTTCAATGATTAGAAAAAAAATGGATAATAGATAAAGGGGGGGGTTCTAACACAGAGTAAGAAGTAAGTCTGTATTTCTACTTATCATTGCTGAAAACAAAATTGGAAGTTACTTTTCATTCTTTCTTTTTGCACTTTTGACTTTTTCTTTGTTTTTTCTTTTCTTTCTTTTCTTTACTTCATAAATATTCTTATAATAAAAATTGCACATGCACACATACATACTCATGTTCGTGAAGTCACTAGGAAATGAGCTCCCCTGGACAGAGCTATCCTCTGTGTTTCATCTGTAAAATAAAAGTGAAAACCTTAATTATGAAGGTTTTTAAAAATGTATTTGATATAGTGTGTAATTTTCAAAATGTATTTGATATAGTCTGTAATTTTCAAGTAAGAGTCAATCACTGGAATGTTGATGCCAATATCATATTAATTGCCTATTGTAGCTGTGACAGATTCAAATTCTGCCTCCCAAAGCCCAATATTTGGATTTTGTAGTTCCTAGTTGAGTGTTAATCACCTGCAGGAAAGCTTAATCCTAATTCACATTCCACTTCCCATTGAATTGCTGGTTTGCTCATTTTGTGAACTGTGCATGAATCAAATAGAGTAGAGTAAACTCTTAACTTCATTTTATTTGCTCAGCTGTTTGGAGAATGCATTTGAAGTGTTTCTTTTTCTTTTCTATTTATGAAAAAGCAGAGTTTTTTAAAAAATAAATAAATTTGACTGCTGCTTTTTGGGGACGTGTACTGGTATATTCTTTTGTCTTCTCCCAGTCTCCTTTTGTTCCTTGGTACTTTGGTCATACACAAAATTGGGCAGTCTTGAAGTAAGCACTGATGTGGGGGGTGGGATGACAAAATGTGATTACTCAAAGGTAAGAACAGTATTTGAAATAATGCTTCTAATCCTGGCAGGTAACATTGTATAGCCATGAAAATGTTCCTGCCTTATATTAAAAGTGAGTTAAGAGTTTGCAACAGTGATTAGATAGCCAGAAAGATGATTTGTTTTAAATCGAGATTCAGCCATAAATTTGTGAGATTTATACAGTCTGCAAGTGAGCTAGAGCTTTTCATTTATTTTAGATAAGATGTAAAGGATGGATCTCCCTGATAACAAAAGGAGTGCCACCATTCTTTTCAGAATGAATTTTCATAGGATGAGTGTTTCAGTCAGTTACAAAAAACAGAGCTAAGCTATTGTACTGATTAACATCTGTATCCATTTGAGATTGAGACACAAGTGAATGGCTTTTTTTTAAAGGGTGCTAACTAATTCAGAATAATAGGTTCTATTTACTGTTTATTGAAAGGTCGCGGTCAATAGAAGGCATAGCTTATAAATCAGAGTCACCAAGTCTGGTAGACAAATAGCTTTTAGAGGGCAAATTATGCATGAAATAGAATTGCATCACAGAGATAAAATGCTATTAAAGTGTGTGGTAACAATAAGTTTCCGGTTATTAAATAAGATAGCCGGGACTTCAACACAGATACACGCAAGTGTTTAATGCTAAGATTTGAATATGTTTCTTGAGTTGTCCCTAATGTACATGCAAGTACCGGTATTTGGTGAAGACTGTTTCAAAAAGGTAGTAGAACAATAATTGATTGCTGGTTCTTTCATCTCAACAGTTCCCTTAAGGACTGTCTTAGATGCAACCTAACTATCACAACTCCGGATGGACCTGAATATGAATTTGGGAAATATTTTCACATTCACATGTTACTTAAATTCTGACTGTATACTTTTAAATATGAAATTAGCTCTCCACCCAAAATTTCCTTACCCCACTCCAACTTGTTTGCTGGAATATGATGAAAATATTTGAATATTTGAAATTCTTCAAAGGGTATAGTCTAATCTTTTTGGTGTGTATGTGTAGGTAGGTATTTATAAAGCTATTACATTAAGATGAATTTTGGAATGATTGGAACCCACATACACAAACATAAAATTGTCTTCTTGCCCCAATAGTTTGCCGTCTTGTACAGGTAATCCTCGATTGATGAACACAATTGCAACTAGAATAGTGGTTGTTCAACGAACCATGCCCAATTTTAGGACTTTTTGCACTGTTGTTAAGCGAATCACTATAGTTGTTAAGGGAATCATACATTCATGAAGTGAATCGGTCTTCCCCCATTGACTTCACTTGTTGGAATCTGCCTGGGAAGGCTGCAAATGGTGAATACATGATCAGGGAATGTTATAACCATTGTAAATACATGCCTACACATTTGTATGTAAATACAAGTGTCAGAATTTTGATCACGTGATTTTGGGGATGCTGCAGTGGTCATAAGTGCAAGGACCCATTGTAAATTTTTTCAGTACTGTTGTAACTTTGAACAGTGGCTAAACAAAAGGTGGTAAGCCGAGGTTGTAGACTATAGCATACTTGAGATAAAGGTGCTTGGTGAGTAAACTATTGTACTGAGGAAGAGACCGTAAATGAGAATCTATCAGAATGGTACATGCACTTATCTTCCCCTTAAGTTCTCAGAATTGAGAGATACAGGTCTTACATTATGTCATGTCCTCATTTACATGACTTCCATCTCTCTCCTTGAAGAAGGCAGAAATTTTTCCATTTATACACAGGAATAGATCCTTGTGTGTCCCTTCTGCTGCCTAACCGATTCATTTTTTTTTCAAGTGTAACTAGGGATATGTATTTTGACTCTGATATGCACCAGAAGATCCAGGATAGAGAAAATGCTGTTCCCACAAGCATCATTTAAATCACACTATTTAGAAGGAGGTGATAGATTAAGTAAATAATACGTTTATTTCATTTAAAATAGGCATTTTACAGGTTAAACAGTTAAAATTTTTAAAAAAGATTATTTAAAGATAATTCTTTAAAGATAAATATGTAGTAATATTTTGCATAGCAACATGTTATTTTTCAATGCTAGAAGGTAAACGACTTCTAAAATATGGATTATTTTTACTGTCCGCTGCAATCAGACAATCATCCGGTTGCATTTATATGCATATAAAAATGGAAGTAAATTATCTGTTTATCTGTTTGAAAGGGACTTTATGTGTGCTATAGCTGAATGATTGGACTGTTATTTTGCACCAATGTACAGATTTTGACTTTTTTTTCTGGGGAAAAAAATCATTCTGTGTTGAACGAGAATACTGTATACCAGAAAACAAACAAAGAATGTTCTATCTTTCCATTCTGTGCCAGATATTATATTCCCAAGTGCCTTTGGAGGTAAAGTGAACAATATTCTGATCATGCTATCTCTCTCAGTTTTTTGTATTCAATACAAAGCATGAAATGAAAAAAATATATTGTTTACGGCTTGCTGGCTATTGATAGCATCTTGGGCATTTTTAACTTTGCTTTCTTTGAGTTTTGGAAGAACACCGGAAACTGTAACAAAAATATACCTTGTAGTAGGATGCAAATCCTAGATTTGCCTAGTTTGGACTCTTATTTTATTTTCAGCCCACTGTAATCAAGACATTTTAAGAACCTTGAGGGTG